ATTTATCACATTCAAGAATCGCTGTTGAAGCGGCTGAAGAACCTATAGAATAAATTTTTTTTAAAGTATAAGTGTATTCTTCCAGTTTTACACACACACACACACACACACACACATTTTCTCTGGTATTTGACTATCTCCCAAATTCAGTATAATCCACAGATTTTTCTCTCTGATATAGATCATTAAGGAAACAGAGATGAGTCTTCATTATATTAGTCATACCACCTGTAATATACTACAACCTGTCATTACCTTTCATTTAGTCTCACTGTTCATGTTCAAGCTATAAGCCAGTGTTCATAACTAAACTAATCTGAACTGGTTTTGGAAGTAAGCACATATCACTGCAATCATAGTTTTAAATCAGTGAAAATTTTCAAATGGGGACATCTCGCTTTAAGATGTGCAAGCTTGAAAAATATGTCAGTATCCCATTTGTTATTTTACTGTCCTTTTTTTTTAAACCTGATAAAACATGCAACTGCATATTTCATCATAACAATCATAGAAGTAACAATCATAAAAGAAAATATTTAAAGCTCTCAAAGATGTTCAAAATATAAATCTCCATGCACTACAGCAAACCTGAATTCAAAAGAGATGCTTTAAATTCAGTTTTATTACCTGCTGAAAGACATGTGACAGAAGTCTTACCTCAGTCCAATACTGTTGTTTTGTCTCTGTGTCCATATGAGCAAAACCTCCCAAAACTAATGCTTTCATTAGTGTTCTTTGCACAGAACTAGACAAATAATGGAGAGGTGGGCTTCGCCTTGCAAACTGCTTAGCTAAATTCCACCAATTTTCACACTGAATTACTAGATTTGCCCTAAATGAAAAAGAAATAGTTTAATCACATAACATTTTATAAATGCATACAAGCCAAGTGCTTCTCCCAACTATCCTTGCTACCAACTTGTTTAAGTTTTTGTACTTTTTCTAGAATTTATATTCTTCCTTACTCTCTTAATTTCATCTTATTTGCATATTATTTTTAGACAGCTACAAACATTTACTCTGAGTGTTCTACAGATGTTGAACCAAGGAATGGGAAAACACTTTGTAAATTAACATGAATCACTTTATTACACATATTGCATGCATCAAAATCAAAATGTCTCACATTATGTGATAAGAGAGAACTAAGCAGCAGTTTGTTCCTGCTTCTGTTCTTCCTCTGAAAGGCACTCTGAGCCTTGAGTGTAAGAGGATTCACAAATGCCTCCAATTATGTGAAACAAAACCCTATTTATTCACATGTGCTGTTTAGCCAAAAGGAAATATCAGCAAGGTCTCTTGTGACATTCCCTTATGATCTGATTTGTAAATATCAAAAACAACAGGACATCTCATATACATACAGGGCTCTTCAGGCAGGCTCCTGGACAACAAACTTCTGCCATTTCTGTTCAGAGTACCCCACTGTACTCACGGCCTCTGGGATGGATCTGGTCCACTTAGAGTGACTCTAGCCTCCAGTTTATTTATCATGCACAAATTCCCTATTGCCACCCCAGCCATCCAATCTGCTCCACATTTTGCTAAAGGCATGCCAAACCCCTGCTGCCAATCCCCTTCTCTATGTGGAGGGCTGGTGTCACCCTCCTTGTGCAGCCTATTTACCAACCCACTGAATGAACTGCTCCAAATCATTCTTTACTATGATTTTCAGCAGCATGTTTTTCTGCAGAGACTACATTCACAGGGTGGAGGTGAGGGGCAGGCAGCCTTCTACATAGATATGGGAGGGCTGGGGTGGCAGTCGGGAACTGGCACCTTGCAGCAAATGCTGGGTTGCAAATGCTGACCCCCCATTAATAAAACCCTGCCTTAGAGTCTACTGTGCATAGCTGCCTCTGCTATGCTATGCTCTGCTCTGCTCAAGGACAAATTCCTAACAGAGTTAGATTAAGACAAAGCACAGCCTAGGAAAACACCTTTGCATGAGGCCCTCTTGCATTATGGTCTTTTTCCCTCTCTGACCAGCAGTAGTTGCCAATATAAAAAGCTATTTTTTTGGATTAATGGGAGCCACCACTGCTCTTCTGCAAGAACAGAGTGTAAACTACTGTATTCACTTGAATATAAGATGAATATAACCCGCAATCAGCTTGATTTGAATATAATCAACAATCAATATGGGGAAAAAAGGCCCTTTGGTCTTACATTCACATACAAGGAAACTGCGTTATATACATTGCCTATCTTTAAACTGCTGCTAAAGATAGCATGTGCTCTAGTAATGAAAAGTAACTATGAAGTTGGTTAAAATGTAGCCAACACTGAGCATGACTATAAAGTACATGGCCCATATGAGGCAAACATCCTCTGTGGCCCTTAAAATAAATAAATAAATAAAAATCAGCAGTTGCTCCCCCAGGAAGGAATGGGCACTCCGCCTGCAGGTACTGCAACACTAGGCCAGAAATTGAAAAGACTAGAGTAAGCACTGACACCTTTACCTGGTGCCAAAAAGGCTGACAGAACCTACCATGAGGATAGGTCAGTGCAGCCCATCTGGATAAGATGTGGTAGTGACTACTGAGCACAGTGCCAACTCTTTTTAAAGGCATGGTGAGCCACTACATTGCATACATTGACTTTCTCTTCACTCTCACAGCCAGGCTGCACCTGTCTTTTCTGTGTCCAGTGACTCCTGTTTCTTCACCAGTCTTAACTGTCTTGCAAACATCACCAAACAGGGTGCCAAACAGTTCATCCTGAATCCCTCTGTCAGCCGTTCTCCCAGCCTCTTGCATATGTTTAGTGTGGCCCCACCCTCCACGAAGTGAAAGCAGACCAGGTTGCCCTGCGTCTCATCTCCACCTAAATTTCTGGAGGACCCCAGGACTCATGACAAGATCACCTGGTTCTAATTATGAGTGGGGTTATACTGAGATAATTAACACATGGATCCTTTGCGGGGAGGGAGGGGAGGAGTGCTCTCATTATTGACTGTGTAGCTGGCCGGTGACTGTCATTCTTCCCTGAGGTCCCTTCCAATCCCAGTGCTCTGGGGCGGGGGGTGGGGGGGCTGGAATGGAAAAACTGCATAAA